TCTATTGTTAGTCAAATACAGCCACCAATTCTCCAATCAAAATTGGCACAACCGTCACTTTCTTCAGTTTATACAACTTCAATAATGCTTCTCGAAGAAACTGGCACTTTGTTATTTTCTAGATCTCCAGCTCTTTGTCTTTTAGTCGTGCACTTCAAGGGATAGCGATCTCTATCATCTTGGCCTCCCATGTCCGCTTCTCAACGAAGATTTTTCTATGTATTTTAATTTATCTATATTTATGTTTTTATTGACGACAACTTCACAAAATTAATACATAGCATATAGTCATGAATAAATAAGTCAGTAAGTAACAAAAGTAATTACAGCCTCAACGCACAAAAAAATAAATAAACAAATAAACAAATTAAATAATAATAATAAAAAATAGAAATAAAAAGTATTGGGAGGATAAAAGCCTGTCAGTTGCCACACATGTTTAATATTGTTTGCCACAATTTTCAATTCTCAACGAAGATGGTGTCCGACCTTCTAGCTTCAAATCATCAGAAATCCCACAGAACTTTGAAAACCTTGTTTTCTACCACTTGTTTTGGAGTACATTTGTAGCACTGATCTACCCTTTCCAGTTAGGCCTTGCTACTCCGCCCGTTGCCGATACACATATTGCACCATAATGATTATGATTATCATTATGATTATTATTTTTTAAGACGTGGAAGTGGAGCTAGTTTTGCAAGACATTACAGGAGAAGCGTTGGGGAGCCAACCATTTCCCAGAAGCGCGATGGATATAGTACTTAGAGGATTCTAGGAGATATATCCTTACCTTAAACTACAACTTTATCCCATTTCTCTTTTGATGATGGCGGGGAAGGAAGTCGGAAGTTAATTAGAGTTTTAGGGAACGTTCATATAGGCACTGTAATAAAAGTGTGCGGGGGTAACTTTTTGGCTATGGCGGATTGTCTTGAAGTTTAAGCAACTGATTTCTTTCAAGGTCTTCAAGAAAAAGTATACAGTATAGAACCCAGTCTTCCGGACGTCTTTAAAACGTAATTGGTGCCTGCCAGTGGGGCATTTCCTTGAGCTAATTCTCCCTGAAGGAGATCCTTTGGGATCCGGCCGACATCTATGTTTTCATTTGTATCTTCTTAATTTAACCAGGAACGCTGATTCGAACTCCACACACTTCCCTAACTTCGACTAACTGAAGAATCGTAGGGCTGATTGCGACACTAGGACTACAAACTAGGAGTAATCGGAGCTTAGGACAGTGCGTTCGACATGTTTGTTTGCTTCAGTTGAATCCCGATAACTCGAACCTGGCGCTAACTCGAACCAAAATCGATTTCCCCTGAATTTCCATACTATGGGAGGCCATATCATCTCCTTCATACATTTGTTGTGATTTTACCCTCGGTAACTAGAACCCTCGATAACTCGAACCTCCCGCGAACTCGAAGTAATTTTGGTTTCCCCTCAAATCATTAACCGGGCTTGCCGTATTAAAGCAGGCCCAGTTTATAAAATACCTTCGATTTTTTCTCCAGGGGGTGTATCCCTAGCAATTCGTGGTTGGTATGTGCCGACTCATTCTGGTAATCCTAACTGTAGACTCTTATTTCACATGAATATCTATAGGGAAAATGTAAGCAAGTACCCACCGGAATTTTTGCATATTTCTTTGTTCAGTGAACGGCCTCTATCAATTATTAATCGAGCAATCCGCGGGGGGTATTCCTGGGAATTGTTAGTGGAGTGTATTGTTCCGTTTGCCAAATCTTTACTCCAGATTTTATATCAGCTCAATACCTATAACGCAAATGTAAGAGTACTCCCCCAGAGAATTTCATTGTCATGACGATAAACAGGATCAATTAACTTGGTAACTTTTTAAGTGTGTTAAGTCGCAGGCATTCCAAGCTCACGTTACGAGTGTGGTATGTAAATTCACTTTTTCTCAAGAGAGTCGGTGTCGCGTTACAAGCAACCGTTGAGAGGTCTTGGCAATTTGTGTGAGCAATAAAATACTGAGGTCTGCGAACGCTAAATATCATCATTCTTACCTATTTTTCTATAAAATGAATAAAGGAGACTTACCTTTGATGTATTCCTATTTTTTTTGTTTTTTCTTTTTGGTATGAAATCATCGATTTAGTCGGGGTTTTTTGGCTGTTATTGTTTGACCCCTGTCACTTTTTAGCTTCATAGAGAGTGACAGGAGTCAAACGATAACAGCCAAAAAAACCCGACTAAATCGATGAATTCACACCAAAAAACACAGGAATACATCAAAGCAAGAGCCATAATAGGACTATTATGGCTCTTGATCAAATGTAAGTCTCCTTTATTTATTTTATATAAAAATAAGTAAGAATAATGATATTTAGCGTTCGAAGACGATTGCTTGTAACGCGACACCGACTCTCTCGTGAAAAAGTTAATTTACATAGCACACTCGTAACGTGAGCTTGGGACGCCTGTGGTTAAGCGAAGGCAGCCATTAAATGAAGATGTGTTTGAAGCTGGGGTACTGTGCTATTTCATCGACTCCTTTAAAAGATCAGTGGCACCCAACGTCAATTTTCGGAAAATATCTGTTCGGAAGACGATTTGAGATGTAGAATTTTCGGAACATTTGTTGTAAAATTTTTTGCTTGCCTGCCTCTCCTAGAATTCTCGAACATCTAAAAAAAATGGTATAATTGCCCATTTTTAATGGATTTTTGCCCTGAAAAGGTCATCTATAATTTTCGGGAGCCTTTTTTCTGGCTGAAATTTTCGAAAAGGTAAGTTTTGATCCCTATAACTTTCGGATCACTAGACTTTCAGCTAGGAAATCCGAACATACGTTTAACAATGCTATGTTTATTATAATGAGTGGTTTTAAACTATATTCTCGTTGGTACCCCTAAAAGATGCTTTTGTGGTATTTCTTCACTTTTTGTTGAAGTTTAAACCTTTTGATGAGTTTTTTTCCGTCCAAAACGTGATGGCAAATATCTCTCTGTGTGTAGCTACTATGCATAGAGGAGTTCACCCTCATAGTTGCATCATGGAAAATCAGAGCAAGATGGCGGGAAATTAGGAGATTTGTATCAGAATTCAAAGCCAGCTAATTCTTCCTGAGTTCATATATTTGATGCCCTCTCTTTGAAAAGAGAAACTTATGAGTTCAAAGAATCAATACACTAAATCTGGAGTGCAAAGAAGTCCGTTCACAATTGAAGTCAAATTTTGCTCAAATCCTGGGTTACCTTAATCCTGCTTTAAATAACCGCGCCCTGGTCAGTTAAGAACTTTTCAATAACGAGATTTCGTTTCGCTCCGTCGAACCGAAATATCGTTTAACACGAACCGAAATTTCGTTAATGAAGCGAAAATTCGTCAAGCTTTCTCGAAATTTCGCAACGAATTTCTTGATGCCGCGAACTTTCGTTTTGGTTCATCATGAGCTTTTAAAATTTCGCAGGGACTAGAACAATAGATGCGCCGAAATTTCTCCGAATTTTCGTCTGAAACGAAAGTTCGCATACGGTTCGCCGAAATTCGCGAATTTCGCCGAAAGAAAGAAAAAAGTATAGAATGGTATGAGTGAAGGCTTGCTTCTAAATTCAAACTATATGAAAATTAGACGTTAGGAAAGGGGTTTTCAATACCCTCTTTCAAGCTTTCCTTACACAGCCACCTTTTGTAATTCTTTGCCATGCGGTTTAATCATTTAACGGTTTATATCCATTTACGGCTCTGCGACTTTAAGAAGAGCTAAATATATAGCGGCTTGTGACTTTGGACTTAAGTGGACAAGATTTACATTCGCAGCAGTGAATAGTTTCAACGGTAGTAGTAGCGCAGTGGTAGTTTCTAACTGTTATCAGTTAGCCTGAATTTCAGCCATCTTCCGGGGCATATTTGAAACATCAATGCGTGGCTATTCTCGGCGACTACACTTTCTTGAATTAAATCCTCTTGTTGATTTGCGTCGGAAAACGAAGTTGACTATTCATCCCACATTATTACAAAAAAAAACAACAAAACAATTCGAGTTGCTCAGAATGAAGTTGACCCAATAATTGGACAAGAACGTTTATGGGAGGGGCCGTTGTGATTCCCGTGATCATGGAGATCCACGCAGACTTCCTCGTCCTGTTACAGACTCCAGACATGACACTGACACGACTGAACCAAATTCTCCGCGAGTGGTTTGTTTTGCAAGGTAAAACACTGATACAAACAAACAAACAAAAACGGACGGCTCCTGTCCTTTCTGTTTAGCTTTGACGCGGACACGTAACAAACGAATACTGTATAATATCCAGTGAATTTAGCTGCAAAATAGCGTTTACAAAAATAACAAGTGGCATAAGCAAACTTTTAAGTGTCTTCGATCGAGAAATTAGGCTTGGGCTCAAAATATAAGGAGGGGACAGCGTTTCAGCACACAGAGTGAAGAAAAAAAATGAAACGTCACAGGGAATAACAGCGATCGCCATCCTCAACAAGGCAGAAGAGGGGACTGCAAACTAGCTTGCTTTATGTCAACCTCCAGAGCAAAGCACCTCAAGTAAGGAAATGTCCGTTATATATAGGGAGGCTATTTGTTAGTTTGACATGAAGTACCTACCGACTTGTCTTGACATGAAATGCTTACCGACATTTCAGACCATCGCAGAACCTTAAATGGATAACCGTCAAATGGTTAAACTCGTGGAGGTGGCTGTGTGACTGAAAGCTTGAAAACCCGCCTTTTCGCGACCCCTTCTTTTTCTTTTGGATTTAAGAGGCAAGCCTTCACTCATTACTGTCATTTGAATAGACCCTCACTTGCCCAACAAATTTATTGCGACAAAATATTGTTTTCTCATACTCGGAGATGATACCAGTTCCTTTTTCTTTCTTCCTCCCTCCCTCCCCTCCTCTCTCTCTCTCTTTTTTTTCTAACTCAATATTTGTACACGGTTTTTTGTTTGTCTGCAGAGCTAATTATTACTAGGAACATGTCATCTAAGAAGCAATTATCAAGTAACGGCCTGTTAGCAGAAAAAGAAAAACGCCCCGCGGTGGAATTTGAAGAACTGATGGCTTCAGACGCACCTGAAGGAGGGGGAAGCAATGTGGCCTTTCTTGGTGTTAACGCGGGACCGCTATTCAACATCCATCTTAAAGTTGATGATCCCCCGACGGTTAGATCCTTGTCATCTAAGGTTGCTGATGCGCTTAGTTTTGGGTTACGTGCGGCTGGTATAGGTATCGGTGCGGCTGCCACAGGGGCTGTTATAACAATTGGTGTACTTTGTCATAAACATCCTGAATTCGTGATGAGAATTGTAGAAAAAGCTTTGACAGCAAGAGGGCTTCAAGTAGGAAGTGTTACACCTGGCTCAATTCTTGTGAAGTTGCATTGTTATACCGAGGAAAGCTTCCGATCATTCATGGAAGATTTCGAGGCAAGAAAAGTGCAGGAGCGGTTGAGTAAAGAGTTTGAAAATAGTGGTTATATTGGGGAGGAGCTAGAAGTGACCATCACTAATTACAAAGAAGCCTACAAGTTCTTGGAACAAATTTCGAGGTATGCGGTCGCTTTGCATCTATTATCTAGGTTCAATCGGACTAGTTTATACTGGTAGGTTGAGTTTGATCGTCCGGGTGAACGTAGTCCTGAACAGGATTGTTGTTGTTGACAGTGACTGACGTTTCGACAACCTGTGCGGTAGTCACCTTCAGAGTCAAAGTGAGTTGTATCACGTCAGTTAATGGTATTATACTCTGGTTATTGATCTGATTGGTCAATTACGTCGCGATGTTATTGGTCGTCTGTCAGTTAAGCCGTGATGTTATTGGCTAGGAAGACTCGTAATCAGTAATTGGTGCGTTTCGATCCGTCTATTTTCACAGTTAAACAGTCGTCTTTTCGTGTTAGTCAAATTGTCAGTTCTCCAGTCGTTCTCTCGTAGTTAGTTTTGCTTGATCTCGGCAATAAGTCGTTTGTACGGCGCTGGTAACTGTTGGCTGTTGGTAACTGTTGGTAAATGCTGCGAGTGCCAGGCTTCTTACATTACCAGCGATCAAACTCAACCTACTTTTGAAATGACTCCTGGGTTCAAACCTTTCACAGTTTTTGTTTATACTAGTTATGCAATGCTTTCTCTTGGTATACCGTGAAATATCCCAAGAGCGATTTTTCGTAGTATAAACACGAGCCTTTAGGTGAGTTTTTAAACGAAGACAAATCATGTTATGAAAGGGATATTCACGGTATACCACGAGAAAGCATTGCATAAATAATTAATCCCATGCCACTCAACATGCCCATCAAATTTTCATAGGAAACCTTGACATCACAGGTAAACTCGAAGAAAGTCACTCGTAACTTGAAGTTAGTTTATAAACAACAATGCCCAAATGAACAGGCTTTCTTATGATAGCTGATGGTTTTGTTCACCTCTGTCTGTTTTACCTGCGTCCTTAAGAAAATGGTACGACAGCTGTCCAACGTTTCTGACGGGATTTCAGGTAGGCTGCATTCATTATGTATTCCACAAGGGAGGGAGGGCAGAGGATTTTTAGGAGGGATCTTGAATTTTTTTAGAGAAAAAAGTGGAAGATCCGAATGCAATAATTGTTTCACTTTTAATTAGAAAATCCTAGTTTAAAAAAGAAGCTGAAAAAGGCTTACCTTGATCGATGTTAAGTCTTCTTTTACCTGTATGCTGGCAAGTTCAGGATATAAAGAAATGTTTAGTTCCGTAGATATTCTTCAAATAGCAAATGTCATCCGTCGAGTAGTTTTCTTGCTGTTTTTGTTATCTTTTTAGGAAGTAGTTCGGCTATTCTTCTTCGCGAAACGTGTGAACACGGTACTAGAAATCTGGATTCCTTATCGGTGGAACTTGGATTCCTGATTCATTCGAATCGTAAGAAAGATGCAGGATTCCAAAGCCCACGATTCCGGTTCTCGGTTAATTCTCGGTTAACGGGTTCCACAAGCAAAACTTTTCCGGATCCGGGAAACCGGGGGTACTACAACGATTTACTTCCACCCGGGTGGTTTGTGTGATAAATGGTAAGCAACCCGAGTTTCCTTGCATGAGACGATTGACAGAGGTAATTGCGCGCGGTGATTCTTACCTGATGTTCACAGTCAGTTTACATTTATTTTTTCACACAATGGAGGTTTTCACACTAGAGAATGATTATCCGTCTAAGGTGACTGAGTTATCTGTTGGGTAATCTGTGTCAGACAGATGTGATAACTGGATGGTTTTATTTTGGAGGAATCATTCGTGATTTTGTATACATTTGTCTGTTTATCCGTCCATCCAGACAGCAAACGGTTAACCCCATTAACAATTTAGCAGGTACATTTTCTCTTCTCTCTCTTCTTTTAGGACCTATTTTGTCTCTAGTTTATCAAACCTTTGGGAAGGACGGCAAAATAACACAATGTCGGGAAGCTGTGCCGTACCACTGTGCCTTCCTAACAACTGCAGGTGGGACGAACAGACTGGTGAATATAGCAAGGCTGGAGGGGAAAGGCAAAGCCTCTATGTAGTCGACAAAGCTCTCGAAAGGCTAAGAAGCATCAAAGGTAACCTGCAATCCTCTTTAAATTTTCGTGTGACATTTCCTCTTGTTATGCTACCCATTCTTTTACTCTTCCTAGCTCTTCCTTCTTTTTTTTCTTGTGTAATCCCCAGGTAGCGATCGATAAATCACGAGTGATGTTGTAGCTTATTCAGTAAACGGCGGGCTGTTTTTCACTACTTTGTTATATGTTGTTGTGGACTTGAAGGTGGACAACGTTCACTGAATTGAAAAAGAGGGCAATACATTTTTGAGCAACGCATGTCAACTGGAAGTAAGGCATTTGCTTTTTCCAAGCCTTGACACTAGTACATTTTTAATTGCTAAGTGTTTTTACTCTTATAAAGACGACTTTCTAAAAAAGAATAGGCAAAACCAATGCCTATATAAGAATGCAGAAAGTCTACTTTTAGCTGACATGCGTCGCCGGCTCAAAAACGATAACACCGTTCGGATGCGGATCCAGAAAGTTAAGGAAGAGAGGGCCGCAAAGGACTTTCCAGGTTGATAGATACTATTTTCATTTATTGGCTTACTCTGTCCGGAAAACAAACACTTTTTAGGTGATTAAATCATCAACGAACGTAAATGATTTAGAGGTATTGAACTTAATTACCATCAGGATAGTTATTTATAACTGGTTTCTAGCCATAATCTTTCATTGCTTTTATTATTATTATTATTATTATTATTATTGTTATTATTATTATCATTATTCTGAGCATTGGGGTTTTTAGTTGAGATCTTGAGATCTTTCGTACACACACTAACTTAATTTCCAACTCCATTTAGGTCCCGTTTGTGTGGTGTCAATTGCTGGGCCTTGTCGCAAAGGCAAATCGTATATCCTCAGCAAAGTATTTGACCAAGGGGAGGTTTTCCCTCTTGAACACTTTCTGGACCCAGAGACGATGGGTATCTGGATGTGGGTTGTGCCAGAAAAGTTGACAGTAAGCTTTTAATGATAATGACGTCTAGTACGATATATAAACTGCTGATACATCCAGCACAGTAATGTTGGCGATGACTTGAAAAGACAGATCTAACCAACTATTTCGTGCGCATGGTTTGCTTGTCTACCTACACAAGTGCCCTTGTCGATAGCCTAATATCTATGAAATGCTGATAGCGCATATTAGTTCAGAGTTCCTAAGGCCAATTTTTCAGACTCTGGGCCTGAAAAGTCTTGCTCCATCTCTCGAAACGCATTATTATTTATTGTACATTATTTTCTGTATGAAGCCCAACCCATCGAAACCTATTTTCCTTTCAATGTATAGGACGCCAGTGGCCAGGAATTTACAGTAGTGCTGTTGGACTCGGAAGGAATCGATGCGCTGACCAGTGATGGTTCCGATGATCACTGTATATTCACTTTGACCATTTTACTGGCCTCAGTTTTGATTTACAACTCAGCTGGTGTTCCTACCCGGACTGACCTTGATGGACTTGAGTATCCTTAAACAGCTAATACTTCTATCGTACTTACTTGTGTAAGGTTATTAGTAACCTTTGTAGTGAAACAACACTCATTTAGCCGTGTATTGAAAAAAAAAAAAAGAATAATACGGATCGCATTCAAAGCGATCTCTTTAAGAAGGACTTAGCCGGAACAAGAACTAAGTTTCTGCTTTAGAGAGGTGCCCGTTTCATACACAGTCGGGCAAATTAAAGATAAAGCTGTCGGAACAACAGCAGGACCAACCCTAGGCATCCTTTAAAGTGAGGTGTACGTCTGCTAAGAAAGAATTGATTGGCAAATATAAGAGATAACGGGAGTTTATATATGGATATAGTTAACATTCCTTAATGATTCAAAGCTTCATAGTGAAACTTTCTCAGCGAATTCAGCTTCACTCATCTGATTCAACCGCCTCAGCATTGCAACAGAATGAAGATGCAAACCTTTTCCACAAAACCTTCCCATTCTTCATTTGGCTGTTAAGACAAGTTGTGCTTGCACTCCCTAAAGATTGTCACAATATCAAGGAGTATTTTCTGACAAGGGTAAACGGAAAATCATTTACAAAGAGTGTGTTGATATAGCTCAGGAGACTGCATAAGAAAACACTCAGCCACCACTAGTTTCACCGCGAAATGACGCATGAGAAACGGGTAACTGAGAAATTCCATAAACTGATGACGTAGGGTGTCACTACGCAGCTGATTGGTAGAGCCGTCAGGGTAACGTGCTTCAACCAGTCATAGGCACTTCTCAAATCTTTTTGTTAGCTTAGCTCAAGAAGATTTTTGATATCTTGAGCATCTGATTAGAATCATATTCATCGTCGTTGAAGGGAAAGAATTCACACATGAGAATCGAGCGTTAAAATAGGTTCATAAAAACACTCTCACTTGCCAAACAACTCACAGAATGTTCGCACATTGCACGGAGTCTAACAAATCCTTTTCGGCAGTTAATGGTAGATCTGTTTGGTATATAACCTAGAAATAACTTTCGTCATCGTACTGCAAGCTGTTTAATAGCGCGTTAAAAAAAAATTAAGTGTATCAACAAAAAATGTAGAAGTGCTAATGTCAGCTAACTTACCACCTTTTTTTTCAATCGATAGGTATTCAACTCATCAGCAGACTCAAAAGGTGAAGTTGCATCTAAAGTGGCCGAGAGCATTTTGAATTTCTTTCCTGGATTTGAGGCCTTTAAACTTCCTCCTCCTTCTTCTGACCCAGAAGTTGTATTAAATCTTAATCGAGAAGAGGTGCAGGGTGACGTAAACAAGTCGTTTGTGCGGGGAGTGGAAGAATTCAAGGGGATGCTGAGGTCCAAGTTAACGCCCAAACGCAGCTTTCATGATGGAGAATATGTAACTGGCGAAGGTAATAACTGAAAATGTCATTCTATTCTCAGATATGCACATCGTGGCTCTTCTTTATGTTCTTTTGTTCGTTATAATCTATTTTCGCTGGTTTCAGGTTTCCATTAATGTGAAAAGCACGACATTGACATATAGTAATACCTTTTTCGTTATTTTCACGATGAAGAACACTGCGTCTGGTCATTTATAAAGGAATTTTCAATAAAGTTCAGATATAACACGCCCTCTGATTGGTTGAAAGCGTGCTTTATGAGAGTATAAAACAAGGAGCTAAAGTTTGCTTTAAAGAGCTAGAAAGTGATGCGTGAGGAATTTAACGGTTTCTAGAGCACTCAAGACGTAGGGAGAAGCATTCGACAAAGTCTCGTGTTTTACCCTGCCTTTCGCTCGTGCTCTTGCTGCTTCCTGCGTGCTTCAATGGTGCTTTACAACATGTAAAACGGAGAAAATTCAAGGCTTCTTTATTTTTTAAGTAAATGGTAAGTTGTGGCATTTTATTTTTGTATGGCTGTTGAATCAAGTAGATTGACCTGAGAGTCTCTAGATGTATCTATCCGATTGACGAAAGGCTAGGAGATATCATTGTATCATAACCTTGATCATTTTCTGAACTTGTTTTTTTAAGCTCTAGCAACTCTCGTCAATATTTACGTTGATGCATTGAACACTCCTGGAACAGTTCCTAGTGTACAGAGCGCCTGGGAGACCTTTGTGCATGCCAAGTGTTCCGAGGCAAAAGCTATCGCCACGCAGATCTATCAAAGCGCAATGTCATCTCAGCTAGGTGGAACACTGCCTCGTGATAGTTACGAGATTCGCCAAGTTCAGCAAGCGGCCATTGAAGAATGTATGTTTAAGTTTCAAGCTGAAACAGTTGGAGTGTCTGCTTTAAGCAGTGAAAAGTACCTGGATGAACTGACGGTAGGGAGTATTATGAGATCTCCCCATGCAAGGAAATCCGGATTCCGGAATCAGTTAAAATTTTACTTGTGTAATATGGAATCCTAGGCTTGGAGTTAACGATTGGAATCCAGAATCCACGGTGTGGAAGTGAAAATCGAAGACTAGATTCCACATAGACATAGGGGGATGGGTGGGGGGGGGGGGGGGGGGGGGGGGTAGCTAGTAGGGCAGAGATGGAAAATGTGTGGAAAATGTTTCTAGTGATAGTTTGGAGTCAGGTGACGAGTTGTGTGTGAAGGAGGAAGATAAGAATCCGGGAATAAGATTGTAGACAGTAGGTTGAGAACTAGATTTATTATGTGAGTAGTGGGGCAGGTGGGGGGGTTGGTGGGGTGATAAGGAGTCACATCTCTGTGGTTTGTAAATTATGGCCCATGTAATTCAAAGTGAAAGTGGCTCATGTCCACTGAATTTCTGGAGTGCATTAAACCTAACATCTGACGAAACTGCTAACATCTGGCGCAAGAAAACAGAGTTTGATTAGGCTGAACGTCAGACGTAGCGGTAAACCACTGGCCCTAAAATAAGAATTTGACTGGGCTCATTGTCAAACATTACTTGCTAAGTCCGACGTCAACATTTATGCAACTGGCCCGTGATCCTTACAAAAAAAAAACATAGAAAAGAGACAGTGTAAAATAAGGAAAAAAATAAAAATAAACGCACACCTTTCTCTACCCATAGGAGCACATGGAAAATTGCCTGACGCATTGGCTGGAGGAGAACAATCATTTAACAAGAGAAGAGTGTCAGAAGCTGCTGCGTGATCTGAAAGGGCAGCATTTGGATCCTATCCTGAGACAGCTCAGTGGGAAAGATGGAGCTTCTGTCACTTTCGCTCAAATAATTGGAGGTTACTCTGCTATTGAGCAAGGATTTAAAACTCATTCTAGAGGAGCCAAGGATGTGTGTTCTCAGATGTTTTACGAGTTCCATCCGGTAAGTTTACGTGTTCAAATTCCATGTTTAGGAGAATTAAAAAAAATATATGTTTTTTTTTTCAGATTGAGTTATTAGACAGGTTAAAAAAACATCAATAATGTGCAATGTTCTCGAACATTTACCTTGAATGGCCTTTAGTTTACGAGCTCAGAGATGCCCTCTCCCACGGACTTGAAAACCCTTCAGGAGGCACCATCTCTCAAATCTGAGTCTTATAAACTACATCCTGGACGTGCCTAACAAGTCGTATTGGTATATGATCTTGTGTCATTTCTCGCTAGAAAACTGATAAGAAACACACTTAGTAGATGGGAACATCTCAAGGACTTTTAGCAAAACTCCTTTTATATTTACTACTATCAGGTCCTAAGATTGCATATCTCTTGGCTACATAGGAAATGCAAAAGGAAATGGAAAAACACATGGCGCACTTGCAGCAACTGAAAGACTTTGATGAAATTTTAGCCTTAGAGAGAGAAGAAAAAGCCCGTCAGGAACAGGAAAGGAGAAGGATTGAGGTAAAAATAGTGAAAATAACTGAGCGCGTTTTTAGTAACGTGAATAGAATAAAGTAAAGATGGCATTTTTACTAGGAAAGGACTTCAAAAGCAAACTCGAGGATTTGTACAAACAAACAATTTAGTCTCCAACTCTAAAATCTACAAAAAATAGGTTTGTAACGTAAAAGCAGAGCAGGCTTTAAAAAAAAGGTTCTGGAGAAACACACCTTGTCGAAACTTAATGATGGAAACTGCACTTCTGCTGTATTTGGTTCGTATACGCCTCGATTGATACTGAAATGAGCACTTTTTTCTGTATATTTGTTTTCGTTGCGTTACGTTAAAAAAAGAAAACAAACCACATTGCTGATCGATCATTCTTTGAATGTAATGACTTCTTGGGAATCAAAATTAACCAAGTGTTTTTTCTCGGACCGATATTTAAATGTTCGCTTGCAGAATACACTGTGTAGCAATTAATCCTCAGTAGAGATCTATTTCAACAGGACTCAGTACAACTTCGATGAATACATGATCAAGTAAGAATTGTTTATTGTTTAAGGCTTCTTAAATATAGATTTAACCAGCTAACAGAGGCGTGTTCTTTTCAATGCTCGCTTTTATTTTTAATTTATCTAGGAGGAAAACGCACGCCTCGAGGAGGAACGTCGCACGAAAGAGAAAGAGGTTTGCTCAAATTCACTTTTTAGTGTAAACATTTTCTGCTGTAAAATATTACTTTTTCTGTCTGCCTCATGTTCTCTAGGCATTTACTATAAGAAAAATGATGTCGCTTTTTTGTAGATGGAGCTCCTGCGGATCAAACAAGAGGAGAGGAGACGCTTGGAAGAGCAGTTTAAGGCAGACATGGAGGCCCAAAGAGAACAAATGAGCAACATGATGGCGGCAAACATGGACGAACTGCGAAAGGACAGGGAAGCAATAATTCAGCATAACCAGACGCTCAAGGAAACAATGGGGCAGATGCACCAGTCTATGGAGCAAAGGAACGCTCAAATGATCGAGCTTCAGAAGCAAATCACTGCACTTGCTAACCGCCCACCTCCACCACCACCGGAAAGTGGTGGTTGTGTTATTCTTTAAGATAAAACTTTTTTTTTTCGTTTTGCTTAGCCGAAGGGATGATAAGGTTGAAAAACAAAAACTTTTTTGAATAGTTCAAGTCTAACATTTTGAACTAAATTCATATTTAACAATTGATTACTGTTAAGAAATTCAAGCATGATCGCTTTTCAACAGGAACTTCAATGAAATGATCTTTGCACTGGGATTTAGTGTCACCTCGATTCCCAGACTGAGGAACTTGGTAAGGTCAATTATTTTAACTTATTCTTCTTCCAGTAGTAAAAACTGGCATCGATATAATTATGCATCTTTGATTGCTATAAATTAAAATGTGAGCTGAATACAACCCTGTCCGTTTGTATTTCACTTTTGCATGGTTAGACAGGTCGCAGAAGGAGGAGTTAATTATTTGTAATAAGACGTCTAATGATGTAGGGTAACGTTTTCAAAATACGCATTTGGCAAGAATACGAAAGCGAAAGCCCTGGCATCGAAAAGCCTCTCCTGCATGTCCATTGTCCGTTTCGTTTGGATCGAAGAAAACTTTGTTGTTTCGTAACCAGCGCAAGAAGCGAACAAAGAAATGAAACTGATCGATTTTATTAGTCGTCATAACTAAAAACACTAAGCGCAAAGGCATCCAGTACTCACATGATTCCCTTTCCCCGTTCAGCTCCTTCTCTGATTTAAAGCATGCGTAGCGTCCGGTCACTGTCACTCTACTTATTACTAGAAATACGTAAATCGCAGGACCTCTCGAAGGACGTCGGGGGAACGGCAAGATGAGGCAATGGAGAAGAAAATTTTAAAGAAACAAAACAAAACTGCAATAACTAAAAAGAAAACTAAACGAAAAGAAAAAGAAAAAAAAGAATAGAAGCGACGAGAAAAAGGTTCTGCCCATAATCGAACTCGGGAGCTTCGACGGGCCTCCCTCTCATAGCAAGTGCTGCATTGTCGTGCAGGCGCGGTCGCTAAGCTTGAACATTCACGTCGCGTATTAATCCCGCCCGTTTGTGGTCATGGCGGAGCGCAAAGGTCAACAGTTTTTGTTGATGAGCTAGCGAATATCGTACAGTTGCGATGGGTTTTCTGGAGCCAGTGAGGAAGACACCGGAGCACACGTTACCTGCAGATTAGCCGATGGCAATTTGGAGCGGATTTGTCGATTATTCTCAAATTTATAGCGCTTCGCGTGGATGCGCGTGGAGATGGTCCCTTTTCTTTGTAGCCAGCCTTTAATTCTTCTTTAGTGGATAGTACTTACGATTGCAAAACTCGACAAAATGCCACTTTAACCGGCCAGGGAAGACAAGGGGACGTTCAGTTGAAGGTACCTTAGCTTTGTTTTGTTATATGTTGACTTTTGGACTATTTTAGTTCATGGGAGTTCCGACGACTCATCCCATTTTGTCCATGTTATTTACACACACTACGTCTGGGCCGCCTGTGCTATTTGTTGCTACCGTCTCCTTCTTCGTTGCTCGCGTTGAATTTCAAGTCGGCGTTCTCGCTGCAGAGGATTTTTCGGGGTCACGTCTTCCCCTGCGAGGATTTACAGCCAATTGTTGAATTCGGCGTTCTTGTGTTTGCTGTTCTGTTGCATTGCATGAGAAATCGCTTGAGATTCAGCGATAGTAAACATTGTTTCGCAGACGATGAATTAACAAGAACGCGCTTTCAGCGGCATTCAGTCTCGCTTGCTTGAAGATTAGATCGAGAAATGAGGAAGCGATTAATTCTACACGAAACAGGATTTACTAGCCGAAGTTTTTTTACTTCCTACTTTGTCGATGTCGATACTTTTTACTTTCTGAATTGATTTAGTTCGCGTGTTAGCGACGACCGGAAATACGTCTACGGTCGCAGGCTATACGCGTGTATAATACACGAAAATTCAAGGGCCTCTATTCCAGAGAAATAACATCATTTTCAGAGATCAGAAAAGTGATTTACATGCACGTCATTTCAATCATCGCCGAAAATAAACCGCATGTTCCTCGCAAGACCATTTGCATACAATGAAAGTTTACGACACCCGACAATCAGTTTTGCTAATTAAGATTCTTACTTTTTTTTTAGAGCACTCAGTAGTGTCCACTTGTTCCAAAGTAATCAAGTCTTTCAAGCGATAGAATTCGTCGACCGACACGTTTCGGAAAAGCTCTTCAATCTTTCCTAAGCTTTCTTCGCAAAAAAATGCGTGGCTTCGATCACGCAACGATTCTTAGTCCCAGTTTCCACGGTCTCCGCAAGGAACGCCGGGCACAATGACCCTCCATTTGTGTTTAAAATACGACGAAAATCCCTGGGGGGTACTTCCAGAAAAATTCGGTGGGTGTGTGCAGCACGCTTGCTGAAATCCTTACCCTATTTCAGACCCCATCTGTGATTTTCCCTACCCTTCTTCAGACCTAAAGCCCTGGAGCCCCGCGAGCGACCAGAGCGCGTGACAAGCTGTTACGACACGCACACGGTTGGCGTAAACATTGAAAGGTAAATGGTCTTATCGCCAAATGATGAAGAAGTAGCTTCTTCTAAAAAACATACCCAATTCAAGACTAGAGTGACCAAAGTTCTCGGATAAGGACGATAAACCCTAAGCCCCGTCTCACAACCGTTGCTTATATTAATTCTGTGGGACGTTAAAGAACCCACACACTGTTCGTAAAGAGTAGGGGACGTAGTCCCCGGTGTGGTGGTCTATCTCTCATGGGGGAGGGACTGTTACGGGCCCGCAGTAATTGGCGTCATGCTGTTGCGGTGACCCTGCCAATAACTGCTGAATCTAATAAAATAAAATAAAATAAGTTGTCGAAATTGATACCCTACTTCAGAGTAAAACGGCTAAAAAACCGTACCCTTTGGCGCCGCACATACCTATATAGCCTATATAAAGGAGTACCACCCCCCCCCCCCGGGGGGGGGGGGAAAAACGCGTTGCGGATTATGGGTCTCGCTGCTTACGCAAGCGAGACTAACAAGTCAGCTCTTTATGAATACTTTGGTCATTGATGGAAAATCGCTGTCAGTCGAATCTCGCGGAGAAACAAAAAATGCGCCGTGACGTCAAATTACTGTATGACGTCATGGCGGACACCATCGGATATATACAAGTACAGATGAGCGTTGCGAGTTTGCAACTCGCTAGGATCCACGCGCGCAACGAGATTATAAACGCTCTTCGTTCGGCGCTTCGCGAGGAATAATAGGTTATCGGGTAAGCCTAATTTCATAACCCAACTGATATGTAAAATTGACCACCCTTAAGACAGCCATGATAATACGTTTCGAGTGCTTACTCGTCGCCATAAGGGGACCCAGTAAATGGCATCATATGTGGTTTCAACGGGCGTTTAATCTGGAGGGAATCAGCTAGTGGTAAGGTGAAAGCAAGTGAAACAGATTTCAATTATAGATGATTGATGATTCTGCGATGATTTATAGTGCTCAATTAAAACGACAAACCATTGATATCAGTGTGGCAGATCCAGGGGAGGGGCCTGGGGGGCCCGGCCCCCCTTATTTTTAGACCAAACAGAGGCCCGAGAGCCGAATTTTTTTTTTTGCAAGGAATTACCTGACGAAAAAAATTCCAACACTGGAAAAAGTTGGGAAAAAATCTTGCACGTTGTATACCAGAGGTTTTGCAAAAAAAACTTCTTACCCAACCCCTCCCTGCCTCAAAAGTCAAATGGTCCGCTCCTAAGTTGCACCTAACTCTCCCAAAAATACAATCGAATGCTGTTCGTTAACATTTTCTAGTTACCCACTCTCCTAGCAAAAACTAACAGAAGCGCGCTGCCGATTATGAAGTTATGTCAGGCTCTTCTTTCCCAATTAAGGTGTCAAGGCACCGTCCCCGAAACAAGAGTTAGTGACGGTTTAAGAATATTAGTTTAAACTGCTCCGGCCTTCTGTGTGACAGGTCGAATCAGATTCAACTTCGAATCAGATTCATTCATTCTCATTTAAAATCGGATCTCATCAGCATGCAGCAAGCATAATGGCTGCTTCAAGCATTGGTAAAATGGACCGATATCAAATAGCATAGGTACTTTTAACAATAATTTTTATGGTATTATATCAACACAAGCTAAAAATCAATAAAAAAATTGTATTTTACACGATGGGATTAAAAAACACAACTCCTTTAAAACTTGTTACTTTGTGAACCTACTATCCCAATTGATGCCGGATTTTATTGGAAATGTGGTAAGTTTTTCTCAACCTTACCTAAATCCCAAATAATGCAGCTGTTAGTACACTATGGAGTAGTCTATAGAATATGTTATGAATAAAAATTAAAAACGTCTATAATATACTGCTTTTAAGAGCATTGTCTCTTGAACTAGTCTAGTTTTGAATTAGGTTTCCGATGAGGTTTGATCGACTATATCAACGGGAATGGAGCTTCATCCGATGACGGGTTTCTTCTGCAAAAAAGACATATTGCTATGATTTTTATTCTGATATTGATTTAAAATTGAATGTACACATAATTTGCATTTGCGTATTCATATTTACTCAGTGTCTTACATGTCAGATTTTGAAGAAGGGCTGATATTTTGTTTTTTGTTGTTAGTAAAAAAAAAGCAGGCACCTGGTATCACCAGAGGAAAATTAAAAGATTTAATGGCCAATTCCCAGAACATACAGGCATAATGAATTCAACTCAAGAACTCTTTGCCTTACTGACCATATCACTCAAGAACAGAGAGAGTTGGCTGGTAATTTTAGAATCTGCCCTCTATTTGACAGTCATATTAACCGCCTTCTTTGGGAAATACGTTATTCATCTTGGCATTTAGCAACACGCCATCGCTTCACAGTCCTCAGAATTGCTACTTGGTATCGCTTGCAATTGTAGATATCCTAAACGCAGTTGTCTGTATACCCATTACACTTAAGCTTGCTGTGTCCATTAAAGGAAAATGGGACTTCAGTGATGTCATTTGTCAGCTTCAAGGAAGTTTGATTTCAGTTTTGTCAACTGTGTCACCTCTCACTCTCTGTAT